GGCGCGCCGCGTCCCTCCCAGTCACCCTCTGCGCCGCGTGGGCGCCCGCGCGCAGGCGGCGCGCGATCGGCGGCGTCTGACTTGCCGCCCCGCGCCCGCAGGTTCCTCGCCGCCACGGGGAGCAAGGGAAGGGCCTACGACACGTGCTCGCTGCTCTTCGCCTCTGCGTTCCTCGCCACCCGCGCGCTCGGGTACGGGATGGGCCTCGTCGACCTCTGGCTCGCGCGCGACCTCTGGAGGCCCGCGCACTGGGGGCTGTACGTCGTCATCGCGCTCGTCCACGCCGGCTACGCCCTCAATCTCGTCTGGGCGAGCAAAGTCGTGGGGGCGGCGCGCCGAGCGATGAAGTCGGGGCACCGCGAGTAGCAGCCTCCACCCCGGCACCACGCGAGGGCAGTCTGTAGGGCCCCCTCCGCGTTGTTTCTTTTGTACGTACTAAAAAGAAATACTCAAAAGAAATTCAGCGCTCCCACCATTTCGGACACCGCTCGCCCAACCGAGAGGTGGCACGTGTTTTGTTTGTAAGGTTGGTGGTTGCAGCGAGAATCGGCGAGAGACTGCGTCGAAGAGAGATAGGAAGAGGCAGACGCCCAAGGGTGGGCGACGGCTAGCGCACCACACCCCTCTCCTTAAAATCCCTGCGTGGTGGCGGCGTGCCGTCCATCCCTCCCTTGGGTTGTGTGTTTTCTTTCTTTCTTTACCTGCGTTGTTTTCTTCTTTTCCTGTGTTAGTGCCAGTGCGCGCCAGTCCCGTGCCCAGTGTAATAAATAAATAAATAAATAAAACGGGCACGCCAAACGAGGGGTGGGAGAGGGACAGGGTTGTGCGAGCGAGTTTTGTTGCGAGATTCTTCTTTTCACCTGCTTCGCTCCCGCTTTCGCGCTTGCTTGAGGCCCGCTCCCCGCTTCGCGCTAGTTAGCCCGAGGCCGTCGCCGCCGCTGCCGCCGCCGCTGCCATGCTCTGTCTGGCTCCCTGCCTGATCGCGGTCCTCCTCCCGTCCCCTGCCGCCGAGTCTGCCCTCGCCCAGAGCTCGCTCGTCTATGCGCTCCACAAGCCACGCGGCGTCCTCTCTGCCGTGGGCGAGTCGCGGGCCAGGACGCTCACGGATCTGATGGTTGGCGCGGGAGTCGTGCCGCTCGCTGGCCACGCCGGCCGGCTCGACAAGGAGACCTCGGGGCTCATGCTGATCACAAACCACTCCACTCTGCTGCGTGCAGTGATTGGCCAGGCGCCGGTGCTGGCCGAGTTTGGGGGATCGCCAGTACCCAAGCGGTACACGCTCCTCCTGGCGGGCGCACACGCGCCAGAGAGGCTGGCCAGCCTGAGCGAGCCGATCGAGATCACGCGCGGCGGCCTCAAGCCGTGCGACGGCGCGACCGTGCTGACGGCGACCGCGTTTCGAGACGAGCGGCTGGCGACCGAGTTTCACCTGCTCGGCAGAGATGACACGCGGCGGGTGGAGGCCGAGCGCGCCGCGCTGAGGGAGAGACGCGCCGCCTGTCGCAGTCGCGCATCCGGAGAGCCGATCGCGGCCTTTGTGCCCGAGGGGGGCTGGCTGA